CTTAAAACATGCAGGTTAATCTATAAATTAATAAAGTTCTGAGGTGGTATAATATTACCCATTATTATCAAATAAGATTTATTGGTATAAATAATATTTAATGTACATGACATTAATTCCTCTCATTGTTTTATTTGCTTTTATATAACTATATAAAACAGATCATAAACTGTCTCCTTATGAGCCATCCATTTAATCAACTGAAGGGGTGTCATTAAACTAACAACTTACAAAATAAATAAGTCTTTTTTTTTTAGTTTCTTTTATTATTTTAGAGAGAAAGTATGAGCTGGGGGAGGGGCAGAGTAAGAAGGAGTGATATAATTCTCAGACTCCCCACTGAGTGTGGAGCCCAGCATAGGGCTTGATCCCAGGACCCTGAGATCATGACCTGAGTCAAAATCAAGAGTCAGCTGCTTAACAAACTGAGTCATCCAGGAACCCCCAGCATAAGTCTTTATATGGTAAGAAAAAAAGTATATAATATTAAATGTATATCACTTTCAAGTTGTAAGTAAAAAACACATTTTAACACGTGTTCTGTAGAGGTGCCAAACCAATTCACTTTCTATTATAATACTTATAATAATATAGATTCATGGTTGTAATTATTTTTGTTAGCATTGGTATATGTCCAAGCACATTTGAATTACTGCTGATTTGGAGCAATTGTTCCCTACATTTACTGCAATTCAGAGGGCAATGATAATATAGCTGACCAAATTTCTTGGACCATTACTAAACCAAGCTCAATATTAAAAAAGAAAATAAAGAACTCTTACAAGCAATATTTTATGATATGTGAACATATATCATAGATATACATATATATACATATATATGTATTCGTTATTCACTATTTAAAGATATTTCTGATATTTTTTGGCTGGAATTCCAAAATAAAGACAGGAAAGTTATTTCAGCATATTAAATTTAAATTTATCCTTGCCATTTTTCAAAATAAATCAGTACCATAAAATTGTAATGTCTTTAAAAATGTCTCATTAATTTTTATTTCACTAGTGTTTTGAAGAGTCTATAATTGGATTCTGGTACATGGAGACCTTGCTTACCAATTAACTATGTATTTTTTCACATCTGACTAAACAAAATTGAGTTGGGTTTAATCATTCAGTCCTTGAACTTGAATAGTTTTTCCTGTTCTAAAGTGTTTCTCAAGCAAGTGTAAATGGGGATATTGAATCCTTATGTGTATCTACCGAGGCACTCATTTTCCCTATACATATGTGCATGCTCCTCACGTTTTATTTCAATAACTGTGAAAGTATTTGTCAGTGGTTGTAGTACAAAGCCTTTGATGCATGAGAAAATATCTTAATGTTATGGACTCTTTGGTCTCTTACACTGAATTTTGCATTGTCCTTACTACAAAAAGGAGTGAGGGAGCACAAGGAAACTTTTGAAGGTGGTGGATATGTTTATTACTCTCATCATGGTAATGGGCTCACAGGTGCATGCCTATGTTCTAACTCATCAAATTATATACATTAAATATGTGCAATAATTTGTATTAATCACATCTCAATAGAGCTATTAAAAATGTTCATACAACCCGGCTACCCTGATGACTGCAAGTATTTTAATGTTGTACATTACCAAATAAATGAAAAATGAGGGTCTACTCTGTATAAATAATATTGCTAAGCATTATTTTTCACTAAAGATAAGTTTAATGTATAAGACATTGAGTTCCAGATTCTATTGATTCACACTCTGATTCTGCTTCCCACATAGATGATCTTGGACAAATTATATAAATTTGTCAAAATACCTTTGACTCATTATCCTTATCTGTAAGAGGAGACAGAAATATTGTACTTCAGTTAGTCCTTCTGACCAGAAAGTGGAAAAAAATTCCTGCAAACTGGCTGGCCCAGGCTGTCTCTTAGGCAAAGTGACAGTTTTCCTCAGTGCTATTCAAGTCACCAATATGTCAAAAAAAAAAAAAAAGTCACCAATATGTCACTTTGGACTACTGCATAATTTTTTTTTCAGTTTCTTTTCTCTCTTTGGAAAGAGAGGTGGTATATTTAAAAAACAGAGATAGCAACAGATAAATGAAATTTACCAAAAAAAGCTCTTAATTTCATGTAATAAAGGTTATAATAAATTTCTATATCATATTCATATTATTCAGGGAAATATTCAGTGCTACTATTATCTCCATCCTAGAGATGAAGAAATCAGGGCTTAGGGATCTAATGTAACCAGCCCAAGTCATACATGTAAAAGGGGTCAGCAGAGCTTGGGAATTAAGGAAATTTGAACCCAGAGCCACTGCCTCCCCATATCAACTGCCTACAACTTCGAAACACCTATTTTCACTACAGTAATATCATCCTTTAGGTTATTGCAGAAACATATTTGGCAAATTTCCATTTTGGTTATGTTTATGATCCAATATCTCCCATTAAATCACATCCCAATTAGTCAAGTGATCCTGATATTGTGCTTTGAGTTTAATCTCATTATAGATTAAAGAAACTGCAAGTTTGGGGCTAGTAAATCCCTGCAGCCTCCTCTGTCATCCTGCTTCTGTGGTCCATGCTTCAGTAATGCTGATGTCCATTCCCTGCACAAACCTCCCCTCAATTTTCTCCTTGGAGCAATCACATTGCTACTCAAGAGACTCTTGTCTCTCTCCACATGCTCACCTCTGCTTGGTTTCTCAACCTTTGGGTATCAGTAGTGAGACCTATGCTTCATTGACTCTCCTCCATCCCTAACCGGCCTGACATCAGAGCAGGAAGTTTACATTTGGCTTCCTCTGTTGATAGTGAACAATATACACACAGATTCTGCAATCCTGGGACCTTGTTAACACCCAAAAGTAATACATAAAACTAACATCCACAAATTTTAACTCGCTTTGAAAGAAATAAACAGTGTATTGTGATTCCACACATAATATATGCTTAAAAAAGTCTCTCTGGGAGAACCTGGGTGGCTCAGTGGTTGAGCGTCTGCCTTTGGCTCAGGTCATGATCCCGGGGTCCTGGGATCGAGTTCCCCACCTGGCTCCCAATGGGGAGCCTGCTTCTCCTTCTGCCTATGTCTCTGCCTCTCTCTGTGTGTCTCTCATGAATAAGTAAATAAAATCTTAAAAAAAAAAAGTCTCTCTGAAGTGACAGACGTCTCGTGTATTATCTGAAGAATGAGGTGGACCAGAAATAAAAGCATTTTTGGCAGAAGTTATACTATCAGGGTAGAATAAAAAAGGGTCCAGAGGGATTTTCGTTTTATTGTTTATACTTATTTATTTCCATTAATCTATAGGAAAAGAATTCTAAATGAAATCCTTCTTGGATTTTTTTCCCCCTAAGAAGCACAGGACCACTAATGCATGCACAGTAATGTTAATAAAAGCCATAAGCAAAGAGTAAATAGATTAATATAGATTCAAAACATAAAGCTAAGTAACAGTTATTCCTTCATATATGATGCCATATACTCTGATAAAAAGCAAAAAAGAAAAATCAGATTTTAATACTTAGGAAAGTAAAACACCACATTGTATTTTAAAATGTGGCCTGTCACACATGCACAAGTGATTAGTATAACAAAAATATGTATACTGTATGGGTCTAAAGCAGAAAAAAAATTATTTTAGAAAGTTTTGCAAGAGAACACTAAATATGAACTGTGAGACAGCAGTTGTAAGAGAAAAAGGAGAGTGAACAATTACAGCAAAAGGCAAGATCACACCACTGCAGTCAAGCTCAGGTTCTGTCCATGGGTAAGTATTTTAGAAATCCATACACTGTGGCAAATTATACAGGCAGTTATTTGTCTATATTTGTTGACGTAAATGCAAAATTTTGAAACCAGATAGAGGCAGGAAATACTTGCACAAAAAGGCAGCTAAATATTATAAAATAAATTTGTATGTTATTTAAAGCTTGGATACTTTTCTTTCCCCCCAAGTCCTCATAGTATAAGCATAATTGAAAACATTTAAGATACAAATATTTGTTTGCTAACAGTCATTATCAAATTATTAACTGCATAACTGATCAATAAACTGATCAATTAGAAATTGATTTTAAAGAATTGGCGTGGAATTCATATGATAAGCCCCATCCTGCTCTTAGCGGACTCTTCCCTGCTTCCTAAGTCTTTAGCCTCCTACTCTTCACCATGTTGCTGAAGCCATGTGTGATGCCTTATCTTTACTCTAGGTTTTCAGTAAAAAAATGATTTGAGGAAAGTAATATATTTCTTAGATAATGCTCAATGATAAAAAAAATTAACTCCATTTCTTTTTAAAAAAATCTATTTCAGAATAATCTCTCCATATCATATCTTTTTTTTTCCTCCAAATTTCTGGTTTAATAAGGACTTGTTTATTTGAGAAAAAAGGGTCCCAAACATCAGGCTGTTCACAAAAATAACCCACAGTATCAACTTTAGAAAACAAATCTTAAGACTATTACACTAATTATTTTTCTAGAGGATGCATTTGACATGCCAACTCTCATTCACAAAAATACATTGTGTTGAACATTTGTGTTGAACAGCCCCACATAGCATTCTTATGTGGGGTATAACACACATACCTCTAACTCAAAGCTGCTTTCAGGTGCTACTCAACTAATGCGATTGCCTTTGCAGTTAGGGAAACAACTATTGAGCTCATGTATGAATGGAAAGAACTGTACTCCCTACATAACAAGAGATTATTTTGGGGACAGTTGATAAAAACCACACATCCTTTTTATTGTTAAGTCATAAAGAGGTATCAAAATTAAAAGCAAAAATTACAGGGTAAGACTTACCATAACTACTAGGAACGTCAAAGGAAGTGAAAATGGGACTAGGCGCAGGGCGATATGAATTAATGAACATGGGAAGGATAAGGATGGGGAGAACAGTGAGCATGTGCTGAAGAAGATACTAGGGGAGAGGATCTGGTGAAAATTTTTATATTAAACAAGCACCTAGGTAAAGAAATAATGGGACAAGATTTCTAAATCCCACTATGTGCTTAAGAGTCATCCTCGCCATTGGCGCTGTCTCTGTCATCCTCTCCATCCTCAGCCTCTTTTTCATCATCCTTGATCAACTCCAGCTGGTCATCCCCCCGATCTTCATTATCACCATCATCCAGTAGATCCCCCTCCTCAGCAGAGTCATCTGCACCCCCCTCAGACTCCATCTTCACATTAGTCTCATCTTTCTTCAGGGAGCTGTTGTTCTGCTCCTCTTCTGATTTACCGTTCTTCATCTCTACTCCTTGTTTGCTCTGTTCTTTCTCATTTTTTTCCAGGCTTTCCAGTAGAGAATCCACTTTTTGTTTTATCTGGGTCAACTCATTCTTAATGGTTTGAAGGTCATCTCCTTTCAACTTTCCAGACTTGGAAGAAGATCCTCGCTGTCCACTCTTAGAATTGAAGCCACTTTTGCCCCTTTGTGAGATGTTTCCTGATACACGCTGGCGTTTTGAGGAGGAGGGGGTACACATGCTGGGTAACTGTACATCCTGACATAATAATCTTGTTGAAAGTCACAGTCCAAATCAAAAGAGGAGCCGTACATCTCCACTGCAGATCGTTTCACACCTGCTTTTCCTCGGTTCACTTTTGGCTCTGCAGCCAGATTAATATCTAAAACCTGGCCAGCAATCATTCTGCCATCCTCTCCTACCACAGCAGCCTGGACACTTCTCTCATTAACATACTGAACAAAGGCAAAGCCTTCATGAACAGAACAACCCACAATTTTGCCGTATTTTGAGAAGATTGCCTCCACATCAGATTTCTTGACCACAAGAGTATTGAGATTCCCAATGAATACATGGGAGTTCATGGAGTGAGGATCTGTCTTGTTGGTAACATTGTTGGCCATTGCCTTTGATGGTAAGGTTCCTCACAAAGCCGAAAATGTAGCTGAAGATCAAAAAAATCTCACAGGAGTGGGGAGGGAGAAGGGATTCGATTCTGAATCTCCTACTCCCGGGTTCTACTGGAGAAGCCAACTGCTGCTCAAGGGCAACAACGCGGCCGCCACCTCCACATCATACCTTGATATCTTTATTACCATTCCCAGACAATTGCCATGTTTTCTACATGGCTTTAAGAAGAAAAAAAAAAAACAAAAAACATTAAAAAAACACTACATTTAAAACAAAAACCTTATTGGTTTGACATAGAAAGTGATCAGTTTTACTTCTTCAGAATATGAATAGAGGAATAAAGAAAGATCCAAAATCCACAATCCATTTCCGTTTTATAAAGTGTCAATGTGTCATCTGTAATGAAGCTTAGAAAATTTCTTTTTTTCTGGCAGGCTGATCATGTTGAAGCTCTTATAATGCTTTGCCTGCCAATTACCAATTTAAGTTTAGATCATTTAGAATTTCTTGGACGATATAATATAATTTAACTACTCTTATGTAGAACTTAAGGTATCAATCAGGTTCAAGTAAGTTCTGTTATAAAATATTCCTGAAATGTCTCACCAGTTGAACAAATATTGCAACATAAAGATATTTTCCCTAAGATTTGAATTTACAGCTTAAATATATTTCTTCTAACAATATATACAAAACCTATGTTACTTATTACCTATTTGCATGGGAGCCTGACACTCGTTGAATTCCTTGGCATTTCCTAATATTTATGTTTAAATTTCAAGGTTTCAGTGAACAAAACCACAAATGATCCCAATTTTCTCATGCAATCTAATCCAACTTAATAGTGCCAAATAAATAAACCAAAATATCTGTTGAGACCTTACGCCAAAAATGAAATTAGTATTAGCTGTGGAACTAGAAAGCCCTGTTGAATCTAATTTTCATATGAGGATAATCTTGCTACTATTTCCAGGTGGCTAATAGTCAGAGTGCACATTTTGTTGGAAAGAGCACTGAAAAAATGTGGTTAAGTCAAAGATCCTATCACTTTCCAAAGTTAGACAGGTGACCCTGAATCTGGAATATGTATCACTATGTAAATATCATTTTGTATAATTTCATGAAAATTAAAGAATGTAGAGGGCAATGTAACTATGTCCATAAATATTAGTTAAAAAGAAATCAAAATAAAATCCCAAAGAACAAATAGCCAATAACTCAAAATTATGCTTATTATTAATTTATAATGTGAAGGTGAATTACCCTATAAAATATATATATATATATTCCTATACCCTATAAATATAAATATAAATATATATATATATATATATATATAATATATAATTCCTATCATGGTTCCACAACAAACCAGGTAGTGCTGAAACAGAGCAGTTATGCTTTCCATTTTTTATTATTGAAAATCTATTTCTTTGTTAAAATTACGCATTTTTTGAAATATTGGATCAATCAACTATTTTCCAATATTTATGTCCATTTCAGAGTTTGAAACCACCAACTATTCCAGTTTCCCTATGCATTTCCTAAGCAAAATTCCTTCATCATTTACCCCATTCACACTTGCTCCTAAAGAATGTATGAGGTTAAGTCAGAAATTCTTCATAGGTCTGGTTACACTTTGCATTGAACAAGAGAAAGCCCTTTCCTGTCAGTATGATTCAGTAATATTTTCTCACACCCATTTGATGGAATGTGCATCGCTGCCAACTACTCTATGTTAGCTGACTGGAAGGTTTTCACAGGCTTAATAATGAAGTTTGGAGAATACAGTCCAAATGATTGTCATGTTTACTTTTGAAATGTAGTTATAAAACTTTTTAATAAAAAAAAACTATTCTTAAAGTCTGTTTCATTTCCCCAATTGTACATTCTTTACATTAATAATCCAAATTGGCTAAAATCTATCCCACATCAAAAAGCAATACAAAAATCTGGAATCAGAAGCAGAAATGTCATAATGTACATAGACTTTTGTAAGCCCTACCTATGTATAATATTTCTAAATACTTTGCTTCATGTACTCTACTTCTTACTAAAGCAAAGCAATACTCCTATAAAATCATGCAAGATATTATTTGTTAAGCTTTATCTCTTATGTATGAGCTGGCATTTAATTTTCAGAGTAAAGAGCTATGACCATATTGGTGACAGAGATTAAAATGTATCCTTTGAATTATAAATCAGATTTTAAAAAGTCTTTAAAAAGCTCAACTCCCCCAAATCACAAGATTACTGGTTCATTAAAAGTTATAGAGGACATCTAGAAGAGATGGGGCAAGGTAGTTGTTTTTCTGGACAAGAACAGATTTGAGAAACCCACATTCCAGAGTTTAAGAGGTAACTTGGAATCCCTCATATTTATAGCTACTCCCTGTCAGTGGCTACTGAGGGCCTGTTTCCAAAATATTTGCCAGAGTAATCTTCAGAAGTTTCAAATACACCCCCAAGAGGTTGTGTAAGATTGTCATCTTTGGTTTAAGATTTTATTATTTATTTGAGAGAGAGCATGTGCCTATGTAGGAGCAGGGGGGAGGGATAAAGGGTGAAGCAGACTCCCCGCTGAGGAGGGAGCCAGACATGGGGCTCGATCCCAGGACCCCAAGATCACAACCTGAGCTGAAGGCAGATACTTAATAGACTAAGTCACCCAGGTGCCTTGTCATCCCTGCCTTGATGGTCAAATAAAGCAATGTTCTAAACATAGAAGTTAGTATTTGTTTATTCAGTATAATCATTAGACAGTGCCATGATAAAACACATTTAACATGAACTTAGGAGCAATAGACAATTCTGCAAATAGTTGACTAACATTGTAAAGGTGGTGGATTAGTTTCCTATTGCTGCTATAGCAAATTACCACAAACTTTAATGGCCTAAAGCAACACAGATTTATTATCTTACACTTCTGAAATTCAGATGACCGCAATAAATCTCACTTGGCCAAAATCAAAGTGTGTGCAGGGTTGGTTTCTCCTAGAGGCTCTAAGGGGAGGATGTTTCTTTGCCCCTTTCAGCTTCTAGAGGTCCCTTACATTCCTTGGCCCATGGCCCCATCACCAGACCACCCCAACTATTTGTCCCCATCATCGCATCTCCTACTGCCAGTACTGATTTTCTGCTCTTCTTCTATCAGGACCTTTGCAGTTACATTAAGCCCACCTAGATAATCCAGGATAATCTCCCCAACTCGGAGAGGGCTTGACCTAACCACACCTGTAAAATCTATTTTACCATATGAGATAACTATTACAGTTTCCAGATATTAAGATGTGACATATCTGGGCAGGGAGGGGCATTGTTCAACCTATATCAGGTGATATAGTGAAAAAAGAGATTGGATTTTGAAACCACATAAATGTGACTTCAAATTCTTTCCATAATTGGGCTATTTCTTGCTTTGTCCTTTACTGTCTTGTGACCTTAGGAACTTATATTATGTGAAAATTGCTTCATCTATAAAATGGAGTTATTAATAGCTTGTCGTGGTTGTTTCAAGGGTATCACATGAATTTTCCCTCTGTGTGGGTCATTTCCTTCAGTATACCCTCAGCAACTGACTGCAGCATCACCGCCTTCTCCATGAAGTAATGCCCCCTTTCTCTGCTCCTATGACAAAAGAGACAGTTTATTTCATCTGTTGTTTTATTTTCACTGTTTTCATTTCCTCACATTCTCTCCTTTCATCATTCCACTCCAACTGGAAATCTGTACCCTCCATTCCACAGAAATCCCACTTGTCAAGATCACAGAGGACCTTAATATTGTCAAATCACATATTCAGTTTTTACCCTTGCCTAATGTGACTACAACAGTGTTCACAACAATTGAAAATTCCTTGCTCTTTAAACACATTTATCACATTTTTTCCTTATCACCACATGATTTTCACCATTCTCTTACCTCCTTCTCCTTGGCCTCCTTTGTTTCTCCCTGATGCTCATCTCTAAATATTGGAGAGTCCAAAGCTTGGTAATATGAAATAGAATGTCTTTGCCAATGAATGTCAAGTTCTTATCTCCAGTCCTTTAATGTCTCCTGAGCTCCAGACACACAATGCCTCTGTGCTTCCATCTGGATGTCCAAAGAAACCTCCACCTCAACCTAATGTTACAAAATTGAATTCTTATCCCCAGCCTGCTGCAAAGTTACAATGGAAGTTTTTCTTCCATTATTAACTTCCCAGTAAATGGTACCACTGTCCATCCAATAGTTCAAGTCAAAAGCCTAGTTTCTCTCTAACCCACATTTTGTCAGCAAATTCTCCTACCTCATTTCTTCAGATGACTTCCCAAATCCATGTATTTCTTTCCACCTTTGCTGCCTCTATCCTGTGGAAACCACCACGACTTCTTTCAGCATTACTACTTCTGAGATGCCTACTAATACTTCTGTCCAGTTGGTATTCAGCAGTTAAAAAATGTTTTTAAAAATTTTAATAAAATTATATAACTCTCTAATTACCACTTGCCCATGCCTCTATTACAATTAGAATAAAATGAAAATGCTTAATCACAGTCTGTTTCATATGACCTGCCACCGGCCTTACTCCCTGGCCTTGATTCCTGTCTCCCATTTCCTCTCACCTTCCCTTTTGGCTCCAATCATGTTGACTTTCTTTCTATTCTTTGAAGAGGCCATGTTCATTCTTGTCTTAGGATCTTGTGCGTGGAATGCTGTTTCCTCAGATCTTTGGATTCAGATATGTTCCCCTGTTCTGAGTATTTAAATTTTAAGAGGCACTGAAAGTTCAAACCAAGAGAATAAAATGCTACTAGTATAATTTAAGCACAACCTCCAGATGTTATAACTCTTTACATTTGTATAATGTTATCTATTTTTAAAACACTTTTAGTGTATACTTTGCATGATGCTTATGGAAATTCTATTAGGAAGCTATGGGTGCCCGGACCAATGTCAGAATACCTGACTGATAAGTGGCAGAGACAGGACATGACTCAGATCTTTCATCTCAAAATTCAGAGTTATTGCCACTGCACCAGATTTTTTCTTTTACAAATGTTCAGGGAAAACATCGGCATCCTGACCCAAATACCATAGCAAAGTGTGTGATCTCCTTGCCTGTT